CATTCCAGGCAAGGGGGAGAGCCAGCCAGAGAAAATTCCATGGGGAGATGGAGCAGCTTGTTCAAGGTGTAGCCAGCAGGCCAGGCTTGCCAGACCACAGAGTGTATGCTGGGGTGCGGGGCGTCTGGTGTGGAGTGGGTGGGGAACCATCGGAATGAATGAGTGAATGCCACGATTTTCATGAAGGCAAGCCTGGCAATCATTAGCTGCCCTACTTTGGGCAGGTGACTAAACAGGTGAATTCCCTATCACTACTCTGGCCTCCCTCGTTCGGAGCTTGTGGCCTGTTTCCAGAGTTCCCCACTTATGTCGTCTTTCTGCCAGGTAGTCTGTGTCATCAGCTCCAGATGACAGTCTCCCTTAGTCCATGGATCACCATTGACCTGCCGTGGTTCCCCCATCTTGCACCAGGATTACCTCACACATGGCCTCCTCCTGGCTGGACAATACTTTTTGTGAATCCTTTTTTGAAGAGAAGCCTGGGGCTGGCTTCCCCGGCGTGTGTGTGTGTGTGTGTGTGTGTGTGTGTGTGTGTGTGTGTGTGTGGCCACACTCCGGGAGGTTGAAGGCTTATGGTCCCTCTTCAGCAGCCTTTTGGTCGAGTCCTTGCAAGGTCAAGGTCTGGCTTGTTTTGAGGTTGTGGTGTACGGTACCGGCATGAGCAAGCTCCTTACTCCATTATGCTGGGGAAGTTGCAGTGCCACGGCATCCCAGCATACTAGCAGGCCCCCTTGGAGATCCCCGGAATAAGGCACAACGGGCCAGAGCCCTGCCCTATTCTAGGCATGGCTCTCATTCCTCCCAGTCTGGGAAGGGCTCATGCCCTAAGAGCCAGTGGGCAGGAGAGCCTCAGTAGAGGCTCTGTCTGCGCTGGGTCTGCAGTGGAGCCTGTGTGGATCGCCTTGGACCTGGGTATTCTGGGGGCTGGTTCGACTGTCCTCCCGGAAAGGGAGGAGGGGCTGGCTTCTCACCCTGAAATGAGCGCTAGACCTGGCTATTAAGAGGGCGGACTGTCCTCCCTGCAGGGGATAGGGTTTGAGGGTCCTCCTTGGGGGTGGGGCCTGACTGTCCTCATGCCGGGGGCGGGGCCCGGCTTCCAGGTTGGAACAACAATCACAGAACCTTACGTTGTGCCCCCCCCACCTCCCCAGCACCCCGGAAAGTTTGCAGAGTCCTCGCTTCCCGTGCATTCAGTCGCTGGAACCTCAGCACAGGCAGGTACTCATCTGACCACTGCTGCCTGTACCCTTTGGGAGGAGGGCTGCCCTCCCCCTAGCACCCTGGAGGACTCGCCCCTGCCCGATGTCTGATCTGAGTATCTAGGAGGGCCCCAGAGGCGCTACTACTGCTACCCCGCCCCCACCCCACCCCGTGCCCACCCCTAGATCCAGAAGGCGGTATTGGCCTGCACTGAGTCTGAAGCTCTCGGCTTCAGTTCAGTTCTGCCACTTTTTGGGCAGAGCTAACCACGAGGAAAGCACTTCGTAATATGGGAAGCATCCATGCTGGAGCACCAGAGAAGTGATCCCTTGTCCGGGAGCCCCTAGCTCTAGGGTCGGTGCCCATTACTGGACCCGTCTCATTTAACCTTTTCTCTGGCACAGAGTAGGTGATTGTGGATAGGTGCCACCTTCCCTCTCTTTAGACTCGGGCTGTCTCAGTGTCCAGAATGCCCTTCCTCCACACCCCTGCCTCTTTTTCTTCATTTTCGTCAAGGCTTAGCTGAAGGGCCCCCTCTGTCCAAAGACCTTTTTCTAACTTCTGGCACCCCGAATTGGTCGCCCTCTGCCCCCAGAAGAGCTAACTTTGTATCCATTTTCTCTTGTGGCTACAGTTCGTAACCCAAGTGTAGCACAGAACCTGTCCCTGAGTAGGAACATATCGCAGTTCAGTTGAATGGCATTGAATAGGAAATGAGGCTCTTCTGTGACTGGTGAAGTCAAGCATGGCCATGGCTCAGCCTCCTCATCTCCTCTGAATCTGGCCCCAGTTATGGCCATTCAGGGCCTGCCTAGACGGTGTTAGAAGACTAAGATGATGGAGGGACGGTGCAGTTCTTAGAGCATTCCAGACTGCAGCAGCAGCGTTTGGCAGGACTCTCCTCTCCTTTAAAGCAACCTGTGCCCTAAGAAAATGGAGCTATTGGTGATCTGGCGGTGGGATTAAAAAGAAAACCTTTTACTCCTAAAATAAGGGTGATATAGAAGGTCATGTGCCAGGCAGTCTGCCAAGTGCTGGGGATTCAAAGAAAGGAAAAATGCACGGTCCCCCTGTGCACTAGGAGCTCACATGTCGCAGGAGGAGACAGCAGACACCAAAGAAAAACAGGAAACCTGCCAAGTGAATGGAAGGCCATCCCAGAGGGCTTTGCCCGAGGGCAAGACCTGAGGTCTGAATTGTGAGACCAGGGAAGATTGGATAGTTTGAAGGAAAGGGCCAGTGGAGCCCAGCAGGGAGGCTCTTCTCCAAGGCTCCTGGCAAAGGGCATTTCCTTTTCCCATTGCATTTTCCTGGTTGGGCAGGACCTACTTTCCAAACCCGGCTGATGATCCAAAGTGCAGATCTTAGCCCAGTGTAACTTGCTTTTTGTCCATCATCAGAGGACCAGCTGAGCCCTCCCTCCTTCCCAAGACGGTACAGAGTGATGAAGCTTTTGGCCACCACAACTCTCAAGAATCCTTCACTGTATCAAGGCAAGTCATCAAGCATAAGTCTGTTTGGTGACCCAGTATCCTGAATTCAAGAGCATTGGAAGCATCAGAGCTCCCCAAACCACCAGATCTGTTTCCAGCCCAGCCTTCTCCCCCACCCCAGCTATTATTTTTTTCTGATTTATTAATTTATTTTGATTTAACAACAATCAGATGGCATGCAATCTGATATAGGCTATACTTATATGTTCCTGATAAACATATTTTCACATTAGTGATGTTGTAAGGAAAAATTAGAACCAATAAGGGGAAACACAAGAAAGAGAAAACAAAATAAAACAAGAAAAAAATTAGCAAACAGTCTGCTTCAATCTGCATTCAAACTCTTTCTTTGGATGTGGATAGCATTTTCCATCAGGAGGCTTTTGGAAATGTCTTAGATCCTTGCATTGCTGAGAAGGGCTAAGTCTACCAACATTAGTGATTGCATAACGTGGCTGTTACTGTGTACATTGTCCTGGTTCTGCTCACTGCACTCAGCATCAGTCCAGACAAGTCTTCCCAGGTCTTTCTGAAGTCTGCCCGCTCCTCATTTCTTCTAGCACAGTAGTATTCCAGTACGTTCATGTACCGCACCTTGCTCAGCCATTCCCCAGTGGATGGGCATCCTCTCCATTTCCAATTCTTGGCCACCACAGAAAGAGCTGCTGTATGTGGATCCTTTTCCCATTTGTATGATATCTTTGGGATGCAGACCTAGAAGTGCTATTGCCTCCTTCCCCCCCCCACCTCGCCATTAAGGAGAGAGAATTCAGGGCTGAGAAGAGGCTCCCACTTCTACATTACCACATCACTAGGTACAGGAGCAGGGTTTGGGAGGGCTCTGCTCAGGGCCCTCCTCACTTTGGCTATCTCATCAGATGCCATGGATTCAATTTCTCCTCCCTCTGGACTGTGGCAGTAGCTGCTGGGGTGGGGGTGGGGTCTGCCTGCCTCGAGGCTCTCCCCTCTCCTGTGCATCCTCCATTCAGCCATCAAAGGGATTTTCCCAAAGCACAGATCTGACCACAGCACTTCCTACTTTGCAAACTCCAGTGGCTTTCTGTCAGCTCCAGGATTCAATACAAAAGTCTCTGTCGCCCCCTCCTCCCTTTCCCCCGTCTTTCTTACACCTCATCATGCTCTTTGATCCCATGACACTGACCTCCCGGCTGACACTCCATTCCCCACCTCCAGGCATTTGCTCTGGCTGTGCTCCATGCCTGGAGCACTCTCCCCCTTCCTGTCTGCCTCCTGGCATCCCTGGCTTCCTTCAAGTCCCAACTCAAATCCCATCTTCTGCAGGAGGTTTTCCCCAGCCCCTCTTCATTCTAGTGCCTTCCTTCTGTTCATTATTTCTTTTTTTATCCTGTTCATACCATGTTTGCACAGAGTTGTTTACATATTGTCTTCCCCCCTTAGACTGTAAGCTCATTGAGGGGAGGGACTATCTTTTGACTCTTTTTGTCTTCCTAGCACTTAGCACAGTGCCTGAGAGTGGACACTTAATCATTTCTGGTCCTTAGTTCTCTAAAAGGACCAAAATGACATCACTCTGCTAGAGCCAAGTTTCAGTGTGTCTGACTGTGGCTGATCAGACCAATACAAGCTTGGAATGTTCTACCACAGGTCGGGCACAAAGAGTTCATGTGAACCTTTGGGGTAGATTTTCTAAATTCGCACATCGTGCGCTTTTTCTGAGCTGTTTCGATTCTGCTTTGCTCATAGAGAACAGCGTCTTCTCTGGTGAAGGCACATCAAGGTGGGCTCTCCTGTGCCAGTATCTCCCATGTCACACAATCAATTCCTGAGTTCTTAAGAAAGAGTTTGAGAGTGTCCTTGTATCCCTTCTTCTGACCTCCATGTGAGTGCTCTCCCTGTGTAAGTTCTCCATAAAATAGTCTTTTTGGCAAGCGTAGGTTTTACTTTGAGCAATGTGGCCAGTCCATCGCAGTTGCACTCTCTGAAGCAGAGTTTGAATGCTTGGCGGTTCAGCTCCAGGAAGGACCTCAGTGTCTGCTACTTTACCCTGCCAGGTGATCTTCAGGGTGGACACTTAATACGCGTTTATTGATTGACTGACATACACTTTTCAAAACCTACATAACTGAAGTTGAGTTTCTTAGACAATACTCTTTTCTGTTCTTTGTATATCAAGATGTTCAAATTTGTTGATATTTGTTAAGTTCATAATTTTAAAAAAAGAAAATTTAAGGAAAAAAAATAGTTCAAGACTCCATAGAGTAATGTAGATGGTGGAAGAAGGGCCTAGCTAAGCACTTTTACAAATATCTCCTTGAATCCTCACAACAGCCCTCTGGGATAGTTGCTATTAGTATCCCCATTTTACATAGAAGCTAAGGCCTGGGGAGGGGGGCAGGGAGGATAATGAGTGTGGGTTAGGGACTGGTATCAGGAGGAATTCTGAGACTTGAGGGCCCCCTGCCTGGGCCAGCTGGGCTCCTGACTTCCCCTAGGAAGAGGGAGGCAGCCTCTTCTTGAGTTCTGTGTTCCCTTCCATGAGCATTGAAGATGGCCCCATGCCAGAGGCCAGCAGGCTCCGGAGGGGCTCAGTCTCCCCTCTCCTAGAGTGGTGTATGAAATAGGAAGGCTTGAGTTTTTGTGACTTGTTTTAGAGGTGCTAAGAAAGTGACACCTGGGTCCGAAATATTGACCTATTTCCTTTTACCTATAATAACATAGCATCTAACATTTCACAGCATCTACCTAATGAAGTTAGCCCACTACTGCATGGCCGCGGACCCGTGGTCTGCACCTGGGCCCCTAAGGTGAGGCCAGGGAACTGTCTTTTCATAATAAATCATTCCCAAGGGACCAGGGACTTTTGTCCCACCCCCCTGCTCTGGCGAGCAGTTTCTATCCTTCTGGTGTCTTCATGTTTGGAATTAGAGTTAATAAATGATCATTATAAGGACATGCCTGCCTGCTGTCTACAGGCACTGTCAAGGTAAGGAGGTGCCAGTCCTGGTCCCTTGCCAAGGTGGCCATGTGCTGAAGGATCCAGATGTGGGGCTCCAGGTGGGCTTTAGTGCTAATGGAAAGCTTGCCAGGACGTTGTGAGCAAGCTCGGCTTTAGAGCTAGAAGAGACAGTTCCAGAGGCGTCACACGTGGAACCCTCAAATGTAATTGGGAAATGATGAAATAAAGCTACATTAGAACATAGATAATGTTATTAATATGTGACTGTACAGAGCCTTCCTTGCTTCTGTTGGAGTTTGGTACCCCTGGCCTAGCAGGGCAGGGACTTGTCCAGGGTCACTTAGCCACTGAACAAGAGGCAAGGTCCAGGAATCAGAGGCCACCCCGTCAGGGTCAGAGCCAAACCGGGAGGGGGGTAGGGTCTCTCTGTCCAGAGACTGTGCCCCTGAGTTTGGGGGGCTTCTTCACTGATGGTTTTCTCTGTGATTTCAGGTACTGTCTAATAGGAAGGATGGAGTTGGGGAAAGGCAAGCTTCTCAGGACCGGCCTCAATGCCCTGTACCAAGCAGTCCATCCCGTGCATGGCATCGCCTGGACTGACGGGAAGCAGGTTGTCCTGACGGCGCTGCAGCTGCAGAATGCAGGGCCCACATTTGGAGACTCAAGGATCATGGGGCAGTTTGAACACGTGCACGGGCTGTCCTGGGGTCCCCCAGGGGCGGCAGGTAGCCCCACCCTGCTGGCGGTACAGCACAAGAAACACGTCTCCGTGTGGCAGCTGTGCTCGAGCCTCTCGGAGAGAAGCAGGCTGCTGGTGTCCCAGACGTGCGAGGTCGGGGAGCCCCACCCCGTGCTCCCCCAGGGCTGCGTGTGGCATCCCCACAAGGCAATCCTGACCGTGCTCACCAGTCGCGACGTCTCTGTCCTCCACTCGGTGCACTGTGACAGCTCCCGGGTGAAGGCCGACCTGGTCAGAGACCAGGGCTTTGTGCACTGTGCGTGCTGGACCCATGATGGTCACAGGCTGGTGGTGGCTGTGGGCAGTGCCCTGCATTCTTTCATGTGGGACGACTCCCAGAAGACTCTGCACGCGTGCTCTTTCTGCCCGGTGTTTGATGTGGGTAGTCACATCTGCTCTGTGTTAGCCACTGTGGACATGCAGATTGCTGTGGCCACTGAACTCCCACTGGACAAGATCTGTAGCCTCCACTCAATGGAGGCCTTTGAGATATCGACTGCGGAAGAGATGCAGCCCTCACCCTCATCCCTGGCCGGCATTGTGGAGGAGCCCTCTGTGGAGCCCGGGAAAGCGTCCCCCGACTCAGAGCCGTCCTTCTCGTCTTCCTCCCTAGACTCAGGGGATCTCACGCTGATGCCCCCTGGAGGCCATCAATGCGACTCGAGCTTACTCTTCCGCCTCCAAGAGAAGGGCTGCCTCTCTGGAGCAGGCCAGGACTCCTCCCATTTGGTCCTGGTGACCTTCGACAGGACGGTCACCACCTCCCGGAAGGTGGGCATCCCGGGTGTCCTGGTGCCGGACCTGCTGGCCTTTGATCCCAAGTCTCAGGTGGTGGCTGTGGCCTCCAACACATGCCACATCATTCTGATTTATTCCCTGAGCCCCTCCTCGGCACCAGGTGTCCAGTGCATCCGGCTGGAGACCTGTGAGAGGCCCAAGGGCATCTGCTTCTTGTCAGACAAACTACTCCTGATTTTGGTGGGGAAGCAAAAGGTCACAGACCCCACTTTCCTTCCCTCCTCCAAGTCTGACAAGTACACCATTCGCTTGGTGGTCAGGGAAGTCACCTTCGAGGGAGAACCCTCCTGGAAGTCTGACTGGAGCCAGCAAGATTTCTGCAATGTCAGCACGACGCTGGGCTTGACCAGTGAGAGGAAGCCGGGGGAGAGCCACTGCCCCATCTTCTACCCTCAGATGAGAGAACTCCTCATCCCCGGAAAGCTCCACGTGCAGCCTCTGGCTAGGGTGAAAACCTTGATCGAGGAAATCACGGTCACTCCCTGGGCCCAGAGCCCCAGGCCCAATGCTGCACTGCTGAGCAAGCCCATGCCAGCCACTGATGCTGCTGCCTCCGTGCAAGGGCTGGAGGCTGTGTCCAGCCCCTGGTCCCCAGCTCCACTTGGCCCCGATGCCAGGCCAGGCTCACCAAAGACCCAGTGCCGCCTAATACACGAGCCCCTGAACCTTCCCCAGGACAAAGCCTCCATGAAGGAAAAGGAGGACAGTCGGTTGTGTAGGGTACTGGAGAGGCTGTCTGGAAGCTTCACGGACCTCCACCAGCGCCTCTTAGAGCTCATAGACCTTCTGCACGGGAAGGAGCAGCCACCATCCCCCACCACGTACCCGCTCTCTCAAGACCCATCTTTCCTTCTCATCACCTGTCAGGTAACTGAGAGTGGCTCCGTTGTCCCTGAGCCTGCCCTCCAGAGCTAGCCGTGGCTGTGCCAGAGCTGCAGTCTCTTCTGAAGGCTCCATTTAGCTTTGAAACCCACACCTTGGGATGTTTTCATGATTAATTCCTATATGCACTGGATGGATTCAGCTTCAGCTGTCCATGTGGAATATTTATACTGCTATTTAAATTCATGGGTCAGTAAGACCGATTGCATTCTCTAGTTAGGACATCACCTTAATGGTTTTCCCCTATTGGTTTCTTTCCTTGACTTGTCTGGCAGTCTAGGAGGAGGGCTTCTGATGCCCTCCCTCTAGGTCCTTGGGTCCACTTCCCAGGTGAGAGTTCCTTCCAGCAATGCAGAGTGCAGCTTAGCACTTTCATAGAGTGCTTTAAGGTTTACAAAGCACTTTATGGATGTCATTTTACTTGATCCTCATTCTTAACTATTAGAGACTATTTAGGTCAAGTTAAATGTGTGGTTTTGTTTTTTTAATAAAAAAGAGAGGCTATTCCCATTGGGCCAGCATGAGAAACATTAGGTTATAAAATGCACTCTCTTTACCTTCTCTTGTTTATTCCATCTGGAAAAGAACAGAAGCTTTCTTGCCAGGGAGAAGTTATTTCTGATCAAAACTGAAGGATTACTTCACTCCTGCCTGGCCTGGCCCACTGCCTGTGGTGAACCTCTTCTGAGTTTCAACAGCAACATGTAGTTCTGGCAGGATTCCCTTCCTCTGAATCCCTGAGAGCTCACCTGGGAAGTGGGGAGCAAATCCCTAAGAGCTCACCTGGCGGGGGATGAATACCTAAGAGCTCACCTGGGGGGTGTGTGAATACTTAAGAGCTCGTGGGGGGGGGATGATGAATACCTAAGAGCTCACCTGGAGGGAATGAATATCTAAGAGGTCAGCTGGCGGGGATGAATACCTAAGAGGTGGGGGGGGGGTGAATACCTAAGAGCTCACCTGGGGTGAATACCTAAGAGGTCAGCTGGGGGGGGTAAATACTTAAGAGCTCACCTGGGGAGGGGATGACTATCTAAGAGCTCACCTGGAGGGAGTGAATACCTAAGAGGTCAGCTGGGGGGGGTGAACACCTAAGGGGTCACTTGGGGAGGGGGAAGGAGGGGCTGGGCAGGAGCCTGTGAAGGAGAAGGTGGGCACACCATGCTCTGACCCTAGAGGAAAACATTCTTTCAAGTTGGTTTCTTTGAAACTGTCTTTCTGTAGTGTTGTTTCCATCCAAAAAATATTAATTTTTGTGTGTGTCAAATATGGCTTAAATGTTTTGAAGTGACTTTTTAGAGATCCTCATCTTTTCTCTTTATTGCCATCAGGGCTGTTGCTTGATGTCTGGCCTTGCTTGTCCTTCCCCCATTCTGGGTCCGTTCCCAGGCAGGCGCTGAAGTTTGAGATCTTAGTGAGGTCAGAGATTGCCCCTCTAGAGGGGCCTGGCCTGGGCTGCTGCTCCCCTGGGGGTGGGGTTTCTGGGCCCTGGCACCAGGGCTTGCATGGCCCGCAGCGGGTTGATGATGGTGCCACAGAGGAGGAGGAGGAGGTCCAGGCCTCATGGTGGTTATTGTGGGGTAACAGATTTTGTCCTTGGGCTTGAAGAAGCCGTCCCCGACAGGGCCCGTGGTGGACAAGAGAGCAGTCCTTCTCTGTGATGGCAAGGTGCGCCTGCAGACAGTCCAGCAGGTGTTTGGCCTCTCTCTGGTGGAGATGCAGCACGGTGAGTCAGTCTGGGGCTGGGGAGGGCTTCTGGGAGTAGGGCACCCCCTCAGGCACTCTCTGGGCTCCACCCTCCTGAAGGGCAGGTCTAGGGGCAGGGGCTGAGATGGCCTCCCATCCATCACCCAGCAAGCATTAAGTACCTGCTGTGTGCCAGGTGGTTTGAGATACAGGACCAAAGGATGGAGCAGTCCCCACTGGTCCGTGGTGTAAGGTTCCTAAGTACTGTGTGTGCAGGTAGTCTGTGACAGACACAGCGCTTCAAGAGGGAGGGTCCTAGTGATTTGAGGGGGTCAGGAAACCTTCGTGCAGAAGGTAGGGCCTGAGCAGCCTCATGAGGAGAGAGGTGGATTCTGAAGAAGGGAGGAGAAAGGGAAGCGCCCTGGAGGCGATAGGAAGACTGGACATGATTGCTTAGGGGTGTGACAGGGTCAGGTCTGTTAAGGAAAGTCACTTTGGCAGCTGAGCAGAGGGGTGGGGAGAGCTTGGGGGAAGGGAGCCCAGTGAAGAGACCCTTGCATCATCCCAGGTGGGAGGCCTGAACGAAGGGGTGGCTGCATGGGTGAAAAAAGGGTCAGACATGGGAAGTGGACAAGGCACAGGGTGGCAGCTATTGGAAATGCAGGGTAAGGGCATGTGAGGGATAATGCAAGGGCTCAGAACCTGAGACACTGGAGGAAGGTGGTGCCTTGATGGAAAGAGGCAAGTTTGGACTGTGGAAACACAGATTAGAAATTAATTGGAGACAAAACAACCTATGGGGGGGGCGGGGAAGGCGAGGCAATTGGGGTTAAGTGACTTGCCCAGAGTCACACAGCTAGTAAGTGTTATGGGTCTGAGGTCGAGTTTGAACTCAGGTCCTCCTGACTCCAAGGCCGGTGCTCTATCCACTGCACCACCCAGCCACCCTCAAAATGGCCTCATTTTTTCAGAACAGGTTGTAGAAACAATCGATAATTTCATGAAGAGAACGGCAGTAATGAGAGTATGTACCAACACCCGTGGAATGCGGCAAAAGCAGCATAAGCAGAGGAGAGTCCGTCCCTACATGCGTCCAGTGAACTGATGGGCAACGAAAACCCACTGGAAGAAGAACAGATTAAAACCCCCAGTTAGTTTGGAAGTCCTGCTAAGTAAAGATGAGAGTAATAAAGCGGAATGAAAGAAAACCATTGAATTAACAAATAAAACTCAAAGTTGGTTTTATGAAGAAAAAACAATAAAATAGATACTCTTGGTCAATCGATTAAAAGAAAGAGAGAAGAAAACCAAATCACTAGTATCAAAAATGGAACAGGTGACTGCGTCACTAATGGAGATGAAATCAAAGCATTTATTAGGAGTCATTTTGCCTAATTGTGTGCCAGTAAATAAAACAATTTAAATGGAAGAAATGGAAGAATACTTACAAAAATATATAAACTGTCTCAATGAACAGAAGAGGAAATAGAAAGTCAAAATAAATCTATTTTAGAAAAAGAAGTTGAACAGTTTATAAATGAGCTTCCTAAGAAAAAAGCAACAGGACCAGATAGATTTACAAGTGAATTCTACCAAACATTTAAAAATCAACTAATTGTAATGTTAAATAAATTATTTGGAATAATAGGTAAAGAAGGAGTCCTACCAAACTCCTTTTATAGAATAAACATGATGCTGATACCTAAACCAGGAAGAGCAAAAATAAACAGAGAAAATTGGTGAGCGATCTCATTAATGAAAATTGATGCAAAAATCCTAAATAAAATCCTACCAGGAGACCATACCAGTATATCACAAAGATTATATACACTGTGACCAAGTGAGATTTATATCAGGAATGCAGGGATGCCTTCAACATAGGATAACTATTATCATAATTTATTATGTCAATAATAAAAAATAACAAAAATCATGTGATGATACCAATAGATGCAGAAAAAGATTTTATAAAGTACAACACCCATTCCTATTAAAAAGACTTGAAAGCATAGGGAAAGCATCTACCTAAAGCCATCAGTGAGCATTGTTTGTAATGGGGATAAGCTAGAAGCCTTCCCAGTAAGATCAGAGGTGAAGCAAGGATGCCCATTATCATCAGTATTATTCAGTACTGCATTAGAAATGCTAGCAATAGCAATAAGAGAAGAAAAAGAAATTGAAGGAGTCAGAATGGGCAACAAGGTAACAAAACTCTCTATTTTTACGGACAATATGATGATATACTTGTGAATCCTAGAGATTCAACTAAGAAGCTGGTTGGAACAATTAATAATTTTAGCAAAGTTGCAGGATATAAAATAAATCCACATAAATCATCAGCATTTTTATATATCACCAACAAAACCCTGCAAGAAGAGATAGTAAGAAATACTCCATTTAAAATGATGGTAGACATCATAAAACACCTGGGAATATACCTGTCTAGACAAGCCCAGGGATTACATGAACATAATTATAAAACCCTTTTTATACAAATAAAGTCAGATTTAAATAATTAGAAAAATATTAATTGTTCATGAGTGGGCAGAGCCAATATAACAAAAATGACAATTTTACCTGATCTAGTTATTTAATGCCATCCCAATTAAATTACCAAAAAATAATTTAATTGAGCTGGAAAAAAATAAAACTCATTTGGAAAAACAAAAGATTAAGAATATTAAAGGAGGGGCAGCTATATGGACCAGTGAATAGAGCACTGGTCCTAGAGTCAGGAGGACCTGAGTTCAAATATGGCCTCAGACACATGATATTCACTAGCTGTGTAACCCTGGGCAAGTCCCAATTGCCTTGCCAAAAAAAAAAAAAAAGAATACTCAAGGAACTAATAAAAAAATGTAAAAGAAGGAGGTTTAACAATAGCATGTCTTAAACTATAATATAAGGCAGTAATTATCAAAACTATCTGGTACTGGCCATGAAATAGAAAGGTGGATTAGTAGAACAGAGTAGGTATACAATACCCAGTAGTAAATGATTTTAGTAACCTTGTGTTTGATAAATGTAAAGATTTGAACTTTTGAGATAAGAATTCACTATTTGATTTTTTTTTTTGAGGCAGTAGGGGTTAAGTGACTTGCCCAGGGTCACAGCCAGTTAAGTGTCAAGTGTCAGAGGCTGGTTTTGAATTTAGGTCCTCCTGACTCCACAGCTGGATCACTATTTGATTTTTAAAAAGTTGTTGGGCAAACTGGAAAGCAGTCTGGCAGAAAATGGGTAAAGACCAATATTTTACACCGTTTACCAAGATAAGGTCAAAATGGATACATGACTTAGATATAAAGGGAGATATCATAAGTAAACTAGAACATAGAACATATTACCTATCAGACTTATGGATAGGAGAATTTATTAATAAACTAGAGATATAGAGCATTGTGAGAAGTAAAATGGATAATTTTGATTACATTAAATTAAGTTTTTGTGCAAATAAAACCAATGTAGCCAAGATTAGAAGGAAAGCAGAAAATTGGGGGGAAAATTTTTATACGTAGTTTCTCAGATAAAGGTCTCGTATTCTCAAATAGAGAACTTTCTCAAATTTATGAGAATATGAATCATGCCCCAATTGAGAAATGGTCAAAGGACATGAACAGGCAGTTTTTAGATGAAGAAATCAAAGCTACATAGTCACATGAAAATGCTCTACATCATTATTGATCAGAAGAATGCAGATTAAAACTACTTTGAGATACCATCTCACATCTCTCAGAGTGGCTAAAATGATAAAGTAGAAAAATGACAAATGTTGGAAGAGATGTGAAAAAATTGAGACATTAATACGCTGTTGGTGGAGTTGTGAACTGATCCAACCATTCTGGGAAGTGATCTGGAAGTTGTAAAACTGTCTACCCTTTGACCCAGCAATACCTGTATTAGGTCTGTTTCCTAAGGTTTTCAGGGAAAATGTAAAAGACCCTATATGTTCTAAAATATTTGTAGCAGCTCTCTTTGTGGTGGAAAAAGAATAGAAATTGTGGGGATGCCTGTCAATTGGGGAATAGCTAAACGTGTTGTGGTATATGACCATATTGGAATACTGATGTGCTGTAAGAAAGGAGGAGCTGGTTGATTTTAGAAAACCACGGAAAGACTTGCATGAAATAATGAAAAGTGAAATGAACAGAGAACACCACATACGGTAACAGCAATATTGTTCAAATGGCCAAGCTATTCTGAGTCTTGTAAATATTCAAATCAACCACAAAGGACCTATGAAGAAAGAGGCTGTCTGCATGCAGAGAAAGAACTGATCAGTGGAAGTGTGCAGAGGGTGATTGTACATGTCTGCACCTATTTCTGTCCCATGATAGCCGTGTGGAGGGCAGGACAGGGGCAGGAGGGGCAAAAAGAGAAGGGAAAGCTGCTTGTACTTCGGAGACTAGCGGCTTATCTGCAGTCCTCTTTATTTTTCTGTTCTACTTTGTTATGGAAATGCTTGTTTTATTAAGTTCAGAATAAAAATAAAAAACTTCCATGGACCTCTGAAGGAAGATGCGGTCACCTCCAGAGAAAGAACTGATCAATAGAAGTGTGCAGAGTGTGGTTTTACATATATTTATAAATCTGTATCAAATCAGGGCCTTCTCTAGTTTGGAGTTGGGGGGAGGGAGGGAGAGAGACAGTCTAGAACTTGAAAAAGAACAAAAGAATAAATAAAATTTAAAAAAAAAAGAAATAAACCAGCCTAGAAGAGGGAAACCTGATTTGTTTGGGGCATGTAACGTTTGAGGGGCCTGTGAGGCTTCCCATCTGAAAGTCCCATAGGAATTTGGTGGTAAGGGATGGAAGCCGAGGGAGAGAGACCAGGGTGTCACCTGCAAAGAGATGATGTCATCACCAAGAGAGGGGAGAGGAAGAAGAGCAGAGGGCCCAGGACAGAGCCCTGAGCAACACCTGCAGTTAGAGGGCACGATCTGGAGGAGGAGAATGGGGGAGGGAGGAAGGTGTCAGGGAGGGGGGAGTGACCAGCCTCGTCAGAGGCTGCAGAGAGGGAGCTCAGGGAGCATGAGGACTGAGAAAAGGCCACTAGGAGGTCACTGGTCACTTTGGATGGAACGGTTTTGGTGGAAGGATGAAAGCTAGATTATAAGAAGAGAGAAAGTGGATCCCCCTAGGCCTTTGGGAGTTTAGCCACAGAGGGCAGGTGAGATGGGGACAATAACTAACAGAGATGGAATGGTCATGAAAGGGGTTTTTCAGGATAGGGAGACCTAGGCATGACTGTGGGTAGGCGGGAAGGAGCCACTAGACAGGAAGAGGCTGAAAATAAGTGAGGGGGGATGGCAGAGGGGTGAGCTGCTGGAGGAGGCGGGGTGGCCGGGAATGGCAGAAGGGTTACCTGGAGGAAGAGGCAGGATGGCAGAGGAGTGACCTGCGGGAGGAGGTGGGGTGGCCAGGAATGGCAGAGGGGTTACCTGGGGGAGGAGGTAGGATGGCAGAGGAGTGACCTGCGGGAGGAGGTGGGGTGGCCAGGAATGGCAGAGAGGTTACCTGGGGGAGGAGGTAGGATGACCGGGGTCTCTTGTGTGAGCAGAGGGGTCAGCCTTGGTCAGGAGAGAAGCTGCCTCATCCTGGGAGACTGTAGAAGATGAAAAAGAGAGGGGAGGAAGTGCAGTTGGCTGGTTAGACACATTTTTCAAGGAGTTTGAGAGAGGAAGGGATGGGGTATAGCTGGAGGAGATTTTTAAGACTGAAATGTGTAAGTGGTGTGGACGGGGGCAGAGGTGGCCATGCAACGGTCTGCTGGAGAAGGTGGGAAGGAAGTGTGAGTGCTTGTGTGAAGTGCCCTGATTCAGTCCCTTCTCCCTCACAGACATGGACCTCCCCCCAGCTGAAGTGCCTCATTTCACAGATGAGGAAATTGAGGTACCATAGCTCTTAAGAGGCAGAGCCAGGATTCTGCCCAGCTCCTCTTCACAGCTATGGGCCAGAAAGCCTCAGGCTGGCCCTTGAGATCTCTGTCTCTCTCCACTCTCACCAAGGGTGGCCTTGCTGGGGGCTTTTGAGTCAGGACCCTGCCTCTGACTGTCTCTAGCCGTGGCCAGAGGGTCTCGCCTAAGCGCCTGTGTCTCAGTTTGCATCAGGGAATTGTCATGACATTCAAAAGTGATGATGGGCGCCAGAAACGTGAACAGCAAAGGGGAGCTGTCTTAGTCTTTGTGTGCTCAGCATGGGCTAGGCACTGCCTGGCACAAGGCGTGTTTGTAGATGGGGCTCTCGAGGGGTGCCAGGCCAGCCTCTGGCCTGAGAGCAGTCTTTAAAAGCAGAACCGCGCCCTGGACCTTTCCCTTAACAAAAGTGTGGGGTCCCTTCTGCAAGCCCCGCTTTGCACCATCAGCCACTGACAGCTGGGCTCTGCCCTTTCCTCCCCACAGTGCCCCCTTAGCTCCCACTGACCCCTGCTGGAGCTCAGGAGTGAGGGATGGGTTAGGGTTAGGGCCTCTGACCTCCCTCTTTTGAAATTGCAGGCTCCCTCTGGATCCTCCTCTCTGCGGACAGTGAAGGCTTCATCCCGTTAACATTCTTGACCTCCCAGGAGATCACCATCCGTGATGGCAGTGGCAGCAGGCTGGGCTCCCCCACCCAGTGAGTCAGCATCTGTCTGCCAAGCAGGCGTTTGCACTGGAGCGGTCCCCACCCCTCTGAAAGGCCATTCTGCAGTGTCCAGATATCTGGAGCACTCAGGGCCGCGTGGGCCTGAAAGGGCCTGGGCATCACTTTGCAAAGAGACAGGAAGAATAAAGTCTGGTAACGCCACTGTGCCGCCACCACCCACAAGTCTCTGCCTCTGTCTCTCTCTGTCTCTCTCTTGTTCTCTTTCTCCTTCTCTTTCTGTCTCTCTGTCTCTGTCTCTCTCTGTCTCTTTCTGTTTCTGTTTCTGTCTCTCTTTGTCTCTGTCTCTCTGTCTTTCTCTCTGTCTGTCTGTCTGTCTGTCTGTCTGTGGCTACCATGGGGTCTAAGGGGCTGTCTGAGAGTCCGGCTGGCCCCTGACAGGGAGGCTCGGGGAGCTCTGGATTGGGCTAGGATGGGAGCCAAGAAGTTCCGAGCTCAAATCTGGCCTCAGATGCTCCCTTGCTGGGTGACCCTGGGGAAGTCACATCACCACTGTCTGCCTCAGTTTTCTCACCTGTAAACTGGGAGTCCTAACAGTCCCTCCGTCCCAGGGTGGCTGTGAGGATTTGTCAAAGCTCTTCCCAGTGCCTGGCACATAGTAAGCATGTAGTAGTAGGTCTGCACCCGCCCCACCCCCTCCCCCCAGAACTGTGCTTGACCCTGGGAATGCCAAGGAGAGGAACAACAGTCCATGCCTTCAGGACTCTTGCAGTCTCTGGGGGAGACAAGCAAATTCTGGGGGAGGGGAGAGCAGGAAAGGGGGACCTAGAGGCAGAAGAGAGAAGGGAGAGCATTCCAGACAGGAGGGACAGCCTGGGCAAAGGCCCGGTGTGGGAGATGGAGCATCCAGGAGGCCACCTTCACTGGCTGGAAGATTATGAGGCAGTGGATCAGGTGTGAGAAGCCTGGAGAGTGGGGAGAGGGGGCAGGTTACGAAGGGCTTTGAAGGCCAAACGGGGAATTTCGTATTTGTTCCTGGAGGTGAAGGGGTCAGAACTGCGCTTTAGGAAAATCCCATTGGCGGCCGAATGGAGAATGGACGCATCAGGGAGAGACTGAGGCAGGCAGACCCCCTCCTCCACCCTCAGCAGCTCCTGCCATTGTCCAGGTGTGAGGTGATGAGGGCCTGTGCCAGGGTGGGGGCAGGTGGGAGGAAAGAAGGGGGCATGTCTCCAGAGGTGAGATTGACCAGAGGTGCCACAAAGGTGACATCATTAGGCCCCGGGGAGTTCCCCTTTGCAGCTACATTGGTACAAAGCCCATTCTTCCTCCTCCTCAAAGTTGTTTGTGCCCTCAGAATTTCATTTTTGAGCATCTCCCTCTTTTTTCCCTGTTCCCCTTGTTGTTTCCTCTGCCTTTTGAAGGATGAAATTATCCTATGGGCAAGTCAAGAAATGATTGGGGGGGGAGAGTGTGCTTTTGGGAGAGATGGAAGGAGAGAGGAAGGAAGGAAGGGAGGGAGGGAGGGTAGGAGGAAGAAGGGAGGAGGGAAGAAGGAAGGGAGAGATGGAAGAAGAGAGGAGGGAGGAAAGAAGGAGAGAGAGGAAGGAAGGGAGGGAGGGAGGAAGAAGGGAGGAGGGAGGAAAGACTTAGGGGAGAGAGAGGAAGGAAGAAGGGAGGGAGGGAGGGAGGAAGGAGGCTGGCTCCAGTAGATGCATGATGACAACGGGATGTCGTGGCTCCACACCTGCTGCCGTGTTTCCTCGACTTTCTGCCATCTCCTCAGTGATCTTCACATTTTCCCACTCTGGTTCCTGGCCTGTGCTCACGCGCCTTTCCCTTCCCAATGCAGGGCTCTTTAGCACAGCTCCTGAGTGGGTCCTGTTTGCCCGCTGGTATTAGGAGCTTCCCCTCTTCTTGTGTGTTTCCTGGTGCCCAGACACGGGGGCGGGGATTCCCCCCCAACTCCTTCCCTGGATTTCTGGGTGTCTTGGTTGCTGTGCTCGCTCTGGGGTGCCTCCTCCCTGTGGGGTCTACTTTGGTGGGTGTCCAGAGGGAGTCTGCTCTTCCCCTCCATGCTTTTTATTATAAAGCCTTTTTTTTCACTTTATTGATTAATTTATTTTGAATTATCAACCATCACTTCCAAAGCTTTTGACTTTTACATTTTTCTCCCCCTCCCTCCCCCAAGACAACGTGCGATCTGATGTAGGGTCTACTTATACATTCCTATTAAACATTTTCTCATTAGTCATGTTGTAAGGAAGAATTAGAACCAATAGGAGGAAATACCCCTCCTCCCTTCTTTCCTACCTCTCTCCTTCCTTCCTCCTCCCTCCCTTCCTTCATTCTTTCCGCCCTCCTCCCTTCCTTCTTCCCTCCTCCCTTCTTTCCTCCCTCCCTCCCTTCCTTCCTTCTTCCGTCTCTCCCAAAAGCACACTCTTCCCCCCTCAATCATTTCTTGACTTGCCCATAGGATAATTTCATCCTTCAAAAGGCAGAGGAAACAACAAGGGGAACAGGGAGGAAAGAGGAAACAAAGCACAACAGAAGGGGAAAAAAAAAGCAAATAGTCTGCCTTGATCTGCATTCAAACTCCCTAGTTCTTTCTTTGGATGTGGATAGCATTTTCCATCACGAGGCCTTTGGAGATGTCTTAGATCCTTGTATTGCTGAGAAGGGCTAAGTCTATCAACGTTAGTCATCGCACAGTGTGGCTGTTACTGTGCACAACGTTCTGGTTCTGCTCACTTCCCTCAGCAACAGACCATACAAGTTTAAAGACATTTTTAAAATAGGATTGTCAACCACCTGGCAACTGTCACCTGTTTGCCAGCCATTTCAGGCCAGGAGCCTGCCCGTTATATTTTGAGCTGTGGTCCAAAAACCTAGACCCCATTTTCAGACACCACCTTCTTGGTCAGTTGTCCGCTTTTCCTCTTTGGCGTCCAGCCTGTGCTCCTGGAGACTCCCATTTCTTGCCCAAGTCTTTCTTGAGTGCCTCCACCCTCTGGCAAGCATTTGTGTCCAGGGTCGTGGCCCCCAGGCTGACAGGAGGCAGCAAGTTGCTGTGGCCTCGGGGCCTGGGAAGACAGCAGCGCTCCTAAGCACAACCTCTGCCCTCACTGCTGCTCTGCTTCATTTCTTTCACCCTTGGGATACCTCATCAGAGCAGCCAGCCCGAGGAGACCTTTCAGGAAGAGCCTCAGACCCACTCTCAAGCTCCAATGGTGCAACTGCCCTTCCCCTCCCTCCCATACACTGCAGCATTCTTGTGCTCTCCTGTGTCCTGACAAAGGTAGCCAGATGACCTGCCTATTGTCTGTGATAGGACAATGTAGAGGAGCCATAGGTCCCCTGGGCCCTTGTAGGAGAGAGAAGGAAGGGGTGGTAGGGGCTCTTGTTTGGGGCAGCAGCAGCCCAGCCTGGGGATGGGTGAGGGTGAAGGAAAGAATCTCAGTCCTCTACAAAGAGGCCCCTCTGGGCCAGCGCAGGGGACCTTTGCCCCTTCCCAACTTGGTCCTGACTCTGCCACCAGCCTAGGACACTTCTAGAGGAGCTAGGGGTCTGCATGTGATGAGACCTGGGGTTCCCCTACCTTCCCTGGGCTATGCTGTCTCGAGAGACGCTCTGCTCACTCTTTTCTGGGTGCATCTGGATGTGAGGGTTCAAGGCCTGAGGCAGGTAGATGGTTGGAAGACTGTGCTCTGGGGTCTTTCCTGAGGCAGGTAGCCACCCCTGGCTAACTCTGCCTTTGGGAGCAAAATGTCAGAGGGTATGGGCAGCAGAGCCGAGCCAGGGGCCAAACCCTCCGGTCTCCAAAACCATGACTTTGCCTTTTGATTTCTTGTGTGCTACCATCTTACTTTTAAAATTTGAGTTCTTGGATCATGCATTGGATTATGCTTGTTAAAATACATTTTGTTTTCTTTAGTTGGATGAATAAAAATGATATGAGTATTCCATGAATGCTCTACTTAAAAAATGATTAAGATCTCTGGCCCACACCCTAATGAGGAGGGCTGCCCACACCTACCCTGAGGAGTGATCTGTACCTCACAGGGGCCTGGAGAGAGATGGAAGCTTTCATGAAGGACACTGAACTTGCTGACTTCCCAGCAGCCTCCCTTCTCTTTATGACCAAAGCCAGTTATAAAAGAGAGCATTGCTGCACATGGAGGCAAAGTCAATCAGTCAGCAGCGTTAAGTGCTTTCCATTTGCCAGGGACTGTGGCAAGAGCTAGAGATACAAAGACCTCAGTCCTTGCCCTCAAGAAGCTCACAATCTAATGGGGGAGGCAACATGCAAACAAATACTGACAAAGCAAGGTATTTGTAGGGGAAATGGGACGTAATCAGCAGAAGGAAGGCTCTGGAATAAGGAACTTCCGGGGAAGGCTTTCCATGTGTGTGGAACAGTGACCCTAACCCAAATTAAACTCGGTGACTTCTCAACATGGAAAGCAAAGGTTACCTTTATTACACTCTCCCGAGATGGCTGTCTGCTCCTTAGACCATGTAACAAGGGCTGCCTTATAAAAGCAGATCTCCTCCCACCACGCAAACAAGTCTCCGCCCACCACTATCCCTTACCCCCTTAACCGGGAGGTGGGGCTTACATTCCAGGCTCAAAACTCAAAGACAAAGAAAGAGGCTGGAAGCCAAGGGCAAATGGCTCAGGTTTGGGCTGGGGCAGGGCTTATTCTTTGTTAGGTGCTTAAAAACAGGGTCTGAATGGGGGAGGATTTTGAAAGTAATAATCAAGAACTGTTTGACCCTTTGAGGAGCCTTCACTTCTGAGAGTTCACTTCTCACACTACCTTCTGAACTCATTACCTTAATTACACTGAGAAGTCTTCACTGGGACATCCTATTCATGTGGAAGGTGGGTTTTAGTGGGGCCTTCAAGGAAGCCAGGGAGGTTGTTACCTGCTAGACCTTGGAGCCTCAGTTTTCTGCTCTCCAAAATGAGGAGGTGGCGAGATGGCATCTGAGAGCCCTTCCAGCCCTAGGTCCATGATAATCGACTAATCGGAGCCCACCAGCTCAAGAATTTGAATGCTGGGAACTTGGCCCAAGTGCGAGATTTACTTCCCTCCACGTTATTACTGCGTGGTTCAGGGGCCTGAAGAGTGTGCCCACGTCATCTAGATCCTCTCTAGGCCCCGGGCAGACCTCCAACCTTCCCGTTTTCAGGAAACTTTCCTGCCTTGTGATCATGCATCTGGGGGATTCCCTCCCTGCCTTGGATATCTGAGAGGGCCCCCCCCCACCCCGACCTGTAGCTCTTATCGGTCCCACAGATCTGTGCTAAACCTTCACTGGTATGAATCACAGAACATGGCACAGCTCAGCATTCCCAAGTCAGTCCAACTTGTGAGTAAAACCTCCCCAACTCACTAACCTGCTGCCATGGATCCAGTTCAGAACACCCCACGATTTGTCCAGGGAATCAAGGCCAAGTTTACTAGCCCTCCCAAACCATAGCTTCTGGCCAAGGGAAGGAAGACTTGGGGCTGAGGGTGGGGCAAGCCTAGCCATGATACCTGGGAAGATGACTGAGCCCCCTTTTCTCTATGGATATACCCCATGACTAGCTTTCTTCTCAGCTGGTTAGTCTGGTGTGGCCCAGGACAGAGGTCGAGGGTAGTGACCCCTATCAGGTCTAGGCTGTACCCTCAGATGGGGGCAATGAGGGAATGGGGTTGTGCTGGCAGGCCCCATGGTTACTGATAAGCCCTGGAGAGTCCAAGAAACAGTTCCTGGAACCAGACATTCTATTAATAATGTCTCCCTCTTCTGCCTCTCCTCAGACGCACTAGGAAACACCACCAGTCAACAGACATTTATTAAGCACCTACTATGTGCCAGTCATGTGCTAAAAGCTGGAGATGCAAGGACAGGCAAAAACAGTCCCCGCCTTCAAGAAGCCTAGAGTCTAATGGGGGAAACAACATGAAAATGACTGTGTGTAAACAAGATGCATACAGGACAAACTGGATGTAATCTCAGGGGGAAGGCATTAGCATTAAGGGAAATCAGGAAAAGCTTTTGGATTGGAAAGGAAGGAGAGGGCCAGGAAATGGAGGGCTTTAACATGGAATATTTTGTGTTTGCTCCTGGAGAACATAGGGAACCACTATTGAGTAGGGGAGTGATATGGTCAGGCCTGTGCTTCAGGAAAACCACTTTGGTGGCCAAATGAAGGATGGACTGGAGTGGAGAGAGACTTGAGGCAGGTGGACCCCTAGCAACTATTGCGATAGTCCAGGCATGAGGTGATAAGGGTCTACACCAGGGTGAGGGCAGGGTCAGAGGAGAGAAGAGGGCATATCCAAAAGACGCCACAGAAATTAAATTGACCAGAGATGTTGGAGAGGTGGAATCAACAAGGGACGGTGCAGAGGTGAAATCGACCAGAGATGCTACAGAGGTGAAATTGACAAGCCTTGGC